CAAGATCACTGCTGCTTTTTATACTTATATAGGTTGACCCTTGTTATTCGGTCAACTAATTCAAACTTATTAAACAATGAAAAAATACAGGACTATGACAGCATTGATGTAGTTTTTTTTATAACTGTTTTACTATCCTTCGGCAAGTTAACCACTATTTTAACGAAAATGTTTAGAGATAATAAAAAAATCCATTAAATAAGAAAACAACGAAAATCTTTTTATTGTGCTTTTTAACATTTAGGGTCATTTATGGACGAGCTTATTTTGTTGAGGTATGTATGCGTGCAACTGTTACAAATATATTATGGTATGCGAATGTCTATTAAAACTAATCATGTTTTGGATTTAAAGCTTTAAAAAGACATATTGGCAATAAACTTCACACAAAAACATGACAGCGTTATCGTTTTTAATGAATGTAGACTGACACCATTGCAATTGTCACGCATCCAGTCCATTAACATGACATTTTATTTAATATTTAAAAGTGGCATTTACTGTCATAGTTTGAAAGACACCTTAAGTATTGGTACGGTAATACGATAGCTACAGGTACTTGTTATGATTTTTGGTCCGCTTCATCAACTTAATGATAACCCAAACCAAAAATTACTGTTCTTTCTGAGGAATAACGGTAACAGATGTATTTTAAGATGGCATCCATCTTATGTTGTCCAGTTTTAACATGCACAAATAAGACGCCGAAGACCTCTATATAACATCCAATAACAATCCATTAAGCATTTCTTGTAAAATAGCGATAACAGTCTTAAACTGTCAAAATCCAAGATAGCGGTCTTGCAGAAATTTTGGTGTTTCGATTTGTCTTCATTGTGCAAATAAAGCAAATATCGGTAGCCATATTCATATTTGGCAGATTTAATGTAAATTTTGAAATTCCTGCGAAGCCTCCGGACTAGTACGATTTTGTTATTGGCAATAAGAGATTTTGTAGAATAAAAGTCCTTGTATTTAATCAACAGATACTTAGTGTTATGATGGTGGACGCCAAACGTATCGTCGTCGGATATATCAATCGTGTCATTGAATCTATAATTTTGTTTAAGGTTATTGAGAAAAAACGCCAGACACTGTCCTAACATGCCTATGTGTTTCAGGATGATAATGCTCCAGTGCGCACTTCTCGGTTCACCAAAGCCTACATGGAAACAAACCAAATAAATACAATGTCCATCGCTGCACAGAGCTCCAATATACATATTATAGAAAAGATATATAAGAAGATACAAATGTTATTGACCAGTAGACCTAATATATACCACATGTCAACTTGACCAAGTTGTTTCCATCAGGACCAGTTTTCAGCCTAAAAACACCCAGGAAACTGTACCGTTCAATTCCAAAGATGATCAACACTGAGAGGAGAGCCCTTGTTTACAACTCATGGTATATGTAAAAAGGAAATTAATTTAACACAATTTCCTAAAAACGAGCAATATATTCATATGATCTTCTTTATAAAGATGTAATTATTGATGTATATAGTTAAACAATCGTCAATCATCTTGCGAGGTCGAAGTCGTTCAAGTGTTTTTGTTCTGGGGCAATACAAAGCTGAAAAAACGTTCGTAAAAAGGAATTCATCAACTATGAGCTAAAAGGTTGAAATATTTAAAAACAAAAACATTAATTGCAAACAAATTGGTTTAAAACATATACATGTATATGTTTGTACAAATTAACTGAATGTTAATAATTATATATAAATGACAACGAAACTCTATAAAACATATTTTTGTACATTACAGAATGTATCATGCATTTGTTCGAAAACGAAGACACGATCATAAAACGTTTGAATGTTAATAGATGATCCTATGCACGCCAATATGGTCTATCTTTGCTTCGTATAATGTAAGCGTTGTGATGTAGATATTGTCTATGCGTAGTCTCAAGAAGACGAATCCTCTCATTGGTCACGTCTCCTTGCAGCGCTTGAACCTTCATTTGAATAAATTAACAATTTCCTCGGACGGATCATCTATGTTACAAATTATTTTCAATATACTTTGCTACAAAATGTTTTAATTAAGACGAAGATAGTGTAATATGTTCTGATTGTTGGATAAGAGTTACGTACATCTACACTCTCACCTGGCCTTAAACAGATTCTGTCTGTATATGATAATCAAAAATAGCATATATCGTATCTTTTACCGGCCATTAACAACTTAATTCATTTAGGGTCAAACAACAAGAGGAATACATCAAAGGTCACGATGGTGTAAACAACTAATGTCATGTTTTGTACAGATTATATTTTCGTGCTTCAACCTATTCCAAACAGTGTAGCAACGTGTTTTAATGCCTTTATATGTGTTAACCATTATATTCAGCGCCTATTTATTACTAGTTAAAGATAACGGTATAATACTGTTTGCTGTAGAGCATGTCGAAAATCAATGATACCTTCGAGGATTCTCACGATTAACCGCCTGACATGTAAGGTATTGTGTTTTTTAAAAAGAAATTTCTTCCGAATTGTATTTGCTTACAGCCAAAGGCTTGGATTTCAGGGAAAAGTGGTTTAATGATAAAAGAAATAAATTCCGGACCTATCAAACTAGAATTATTTTTAGAGTACACTTACTTTCAGCGAATATCTTGTTTATACCTTCGGGAATGTATCGATTTCCGCAGCAGGACACACCACACTCCTGACTTAAATTCGGATTGTACGCCGCTTACGGAAACAGATAGTTAGGTATTTATAAAACAAATCTGGCACAGCACCAATAGCCAGTATCTCTTAAGTCAATTTTGTATTATAGATTTAAACATTTTTACAATAAAATAGAACAGTCTATATATTAAAAGAAACGGGTATAAAAATCGTATCTTGATATGAAGTCATAAACAATTTACAACATTCTTATTTGGACTTCGCTTTCAATTCTTTCATGATCCTGGGATATGTTGCTTTTAATGTATGGAACTCATTACATCATCATTGATAGTTAACAGATAAGTAGGTTATCAAGGCATATTAATTTACTATTAAAGAATTACTGGTTACTTGATGTTGTTTGAAATAAAATCAATCATATTAATTCACTTAAATGGTCACTTCAGTTCACCGATATTATCTGAATTGTTTTTTTAGAGATACATTTTAATTGGTAAGGCGATGTGTCGCTTACCTCTATCGAATCTGTATCCTCATGGTCAATGAAACATTGATGTCAGAGATCCGATTTTTTTTGCCCTATCACTGGAAGTGTATCAATTTAATTTTAAGGACAGGTGTTGGGTGGCAATGTGGTATGTTACGTACCTCTGTTGGGTATTTACATTCATAACAAAAGTCACATTGACGTCAAATTCATTCTTAGGTAATACTTTCTTACGCTATGAGGTTAGATCAATGGAATTTAGAAAATAATGAGGGATGACCAACATTATTCTACTGCCCTAATTTCACCAATCGGGATTTATTTATTTCCCACACCCTTATTCTATTTGTCCATCTGTGTTTTTCTATGCATCCGTCGTCCTATGATCTAAGTGTTGCGAGGACATTTAATGTCATTCAAGGAAACACATAATTCATTTAATCTGAAACAGTTCAAACAATGGATAATAAGTACTTTGGTTTGTCTCGGCTAAACGACAGTTCCTTCTTTGCTTGCACTACTCTCGACACGAAAGCTTAACGTAATGTAATACCGTAATGGCATTAGGAAAGGAAACAAACTGAAAACGCATTCAAGACAAACATATAAGTCAGTAATAAAAGGGTTACGAAATATGTTAACAAAATAGCAATGGTTGACGTATAAATATCAACGATGACCTTGAAAGCATGATATACGATATCATCGCAGGTATTCTCTTACCTGACCTCTGTATACAGTTTTGATGATTACCTTAAGAAATGAGGTCGGTAAGCCGTGACAATGAATTATGATGGGACGGGACGGACAGGGGATATACTATATGCATCCCATTATCATCGGGTGAACACTTACAAGTATACATATACATAATTATATGGGTCAAAGAAGTAATAGAGACGGTAAAATCTCATATAACACTGGATCCTAATGGAGATATGTCCTTAGGTTACGAATTACTTAAAACAGTATATACATAATTATTATATACACCGAAATGATGCAGGACATTTTTGTCGTGCTAGAGATAACAAACATAATTCCCAACAGAAGACGTATCTCATAATATGATTGCGTTCAGCAGGCTTATACTTCACGAAATAAGTGGCTAGTACAATTCTGGAGGATTTCTTGATCCCCGGCGTTTGCCGTAACATTAATCAGCTTGTTTTTTTCTAAATGATGGCACATTTTATAATATACTAACTTATTATTAATCTGAAATTAACAAGAAATCATCTATTTTGTGCAATTTATATAATTCAGAGATTTTACGTACCTTCCTTTTGTTTTAACAATCAATTAGACCATTTGAAATATTTCTTCCCTTTTGACCCCTAATTTCACCGATGAGTTATGGAAACTCGAAACAGCTGTATGGTGCAGCATATCTTATTTTGACACACTGTATCTATTAACAAAATTGATAGGTGAACTAGTGTATATGTGTCATGCGCACAGATTTTATCAATCCCTGACTCCCAGGAGTGGGAGATGTCAATATCATTGGTCATTGGCTAATTGAGCTAAGGAAACATATACATAGAGAGTGTATTTACATTGTTACGGTGCTCTGGATGGCCGTGTGTGAACATTTTGTCACCTCTAACAATATACTAAACCGATACTATGGAGACCTAGTGACCTAAATACAATTAAGATGAATGAGAACAGTGTTACGGTGGTTCACTGGATAACTTCAAGTATATTTTATGAAAGTAGTTCATAACGAATGCTAAGTAAATATCTTGTATTCTGTTGTGTATTAAGACATGTACAGATCATAATTTACTATACATGTAAATACATTGTAACGAATAGGAAAGTATGTGCTAAATTTAAATTCTACAGAATAACACTTACCTTTTTGATGGTGAGGAAAACGACACAGAAGTTATGTTGATAACATCCTTTGGTGGTTATATACACACACGTTATGAAAAACACAACTGGTAGGTAAACTGAGTATCTCACGGTATATTGTCACTTTACCTGGCTTGCCGGCATCTATATAGAGAACTACTTTACACATCTGACTCAAGTTCTAAAATCTTATATATTCTGAAAGTGTGCATATTAGTACGCATACATGATATAAAGAATTCATGCTGTCACCGTTGCTAAGCATTGAAATTAATAGTTGTCTCTCGGTTGATGTATATACGCACATTGCTAATGAGAAATTGGGTCGTCGCTACGTAGAAAGCGTGAATAACAGTGAAATAGGTAGGTTTGTCGCTTTGGATTATACAGTAAACGCTCGTCAACCATGATGCATTACATACTAATCTTACTGACGCAATCAGCACACTAATTAATTACATTCATATGTTTATTTCAAATAATTATTAGTCTCCATGTGCAAATCATATCTCCTCATTAAATTTGCCTCTCTTTTAAATAAATAATTCCTATATAAGAACAAAAGCCACAGCTTTTTTTCAGTTAATGATTTATTAAACAAATATAAAAAATACTTCATATCCCAATATATTGGTGTCAGTCAGTAGCCTAAATCAATTGCAAGAATCATCCCTAAATATCCGGAAATGTTTCTCGTAAATTCACCAGGAATGCTCTTTTCAACGGCTGATCTTGTGCACTTTAGAAAATGTAGCCGCTGTATCAAAATGTATTGTTTTTCATTTTGGACTCATTTCATATATACCCAAGCAAAAACAATTGGCTTTTAGGCAATGGTCTCTTTTGAGTACAAACAACAGTTTACATTAAAAAAAAGCTTTACCTTTATTCAATGTATTTACTCCTCCCATGAGCTTCACTCCTTGCAGGCCTGGGTCAAGAAAAGGCCTGCTGTACCCCATATCATGTCGTAAAAGGCGACTTACGTCGGGCGCCCTGCAGAAACAGGGTTTTCTTCTTGCCTCTGCTAAGGAGGGATATTGTATGCAAGAAACCAAACTTGCTCTGATGCACCTATTGTAACATTTGGCACCTGTATTTTTCCCCCTTTTTAACAATCTTTCTGTTTACCAATCTCGCTGTAGTAGTCCCTCGCTGAAATCCTATGCCGAAGGCGTTCATCAAAATGTTCCTCCCGGCTACGCAATAACAACAGGATATTCAGTTATCACTGAAATTGTTAATGCAAGTGTCATCAAGTCACTACTATGTAAAAACGATGTTCTTATTAAAACAGTTTCGCCGACATTCTGCCAGCTTGGTCACTGGTGACGTTTGTTCCGTGAGAGCTACTTACATCTTTTGCCATGATTCAGTTTTTGCCACTACCGTAAATGCTTAATAATTGTTGAGGACTTTGGCGAGTTCAGGCATGGGAAAGAACCCATTGTCTTTCAAACCTGGGCGAACGTGTCTGGCTATCTTGATCGGGTAGACGTGCAGCAGATAGATATCTTCATGGACATGGACTCTGCATATGGCATTTTGTAAGTAGAGGGAGTTCCCGAAAATCGAAAATAATCGATTTGAAGAAGTTATATCTGAGTCGCAAATGAAGGAACTAGTTGAGAGCCGAGGAAACGATAACACAACCAATACCCAACGTGGGCAGTTCGAGTCTTTGGTAACATGGTAATTTGGGTGTGGTTTGGTTGAATTTTGTGTAAAATCTATTAACAGCTAATGTCCTTTAAGGACGTGCCTCCATGTGTGTAGTGTATGCGTGCCTGCGTGTGTGAATGCAGGACCCAGGAACATGGCAAAGTAATTGAAACAAGTATATGATTGAAATAATGCCGATGTTAACGGAGATGACATCCATTTAGATAGATCACTGGAACAGGACGGGACCCATTACCTGCCACGGTCGTCTATCTCATCTCGTGTGGACTTCTCCGACATATGAGGACACTAATGTGATGCACAAATCAATGTACTATCCTAAAAATATAGTGTTCGGTTGGTACAAGGAAAGTAGTGAATGAAAGGGACGACAACGATACACGCACTGTCAATTTTGCCTGAAGATGAGGGAAAAATTGAAGGAGGCCTGACTGAGTGTTTGGTGACAATACTCTAGAACTCTTGCAGTGCGCTGTGTTTATGATGCATGCATTTCGGATTGAGAACACACGACGAACATCATGATTTACGGTGCAAACAGTGCAATGATTAGGCAAACCACACCGGGAGAATGTTGTGTACGGTTTGATTCTAATTATTTTGCCACTTCGACACTACTAATTGTTTACTTGCGGGCTAAAATATATAAAATTAACTTTAAGATCAATAAAACGTAAAAATAAAGCCGTTTATGGGTTTCATTATCAGATATTCACACATTTCAGCGAATCTAGGATAATGCAATATGACTTTCTGAGGTAGTAATATGCTGTAAGGTTAATATTTTGCTAATTGATACATTTCAAAATTCTGTTGCGAAGGCTCAGGAATCAGAATATATAATTGATTTCGGTATATTATTTGATTAAATGTATTCAGCAGTAACATAAACACCATGGGCTTTTGTAGAGAGTATTCATGCATCATTTGGTAACCGGATTCCAATAGCAGCATCTTTCATAACCATGGCTATCGAACCATCAGTATTAAACTACCGACAGTCTTTACAGTTCTGCTGTAGTTTTAAAAAAGACGAATGAAAGGCGTAGGATTCAGTGTCAGATTTTACTTTATCATGAAGTAAAAGATCAACTTGAGGGAAACTCAAAAGCCTGTTCTTGCGATCATCTTTCAACATGTCAGGGTAAGCAGCTTAATACAAAAGACATTCGAGATAATGTTGTTCAATAATATGAATATTTTGATGGTTCAAATGTACTTCGAATTTCTGTTGCAAATGCTCTGTTGAAACGACATGGAATCACAATGGATAATTAATGTTGGCACAATATTTGATTTTGTATGTTCAAGGTTGATTATAGATGGCATAGGCTTATACAGGGAATATTGATGGATCATTTGGTTTCCAGCATCGAATTGCATCATCTTTGTCATTCAAAATGTGAATATCAAAATATTTGTATCATAATCATCTTTCAGAAAATTTCCTCATAATCAATTTAAAAAAGAAACTAAAGATAATGCGTGTGATATCTTTTGTTGGTTTTTAGCTCACCTGGAACGAAAGGCCAATTGAGCATATGACATGGCGCGACGTGACACCCAGTGTTAAGTTTTTTTAAATTTTAAACGACTTCTTAATAGGCAAAAGGACCAAGGTGGCTATACTTGGCCAAAAGCATACTGGGATGAAGTGCTACCAAGTTGGATTAAAATAAATGACCTTCGCCCATATCCAAGGTCGCAGGGGTCAAATATGTTGGAATATTTAAACCCCTTAATAAGCAAGAGGACCAGGGTGGTGATATTTGGCCAGAAGCTGGCTGGAATAAAGGGTTACCAAGTTGTTCAAATGAATATCCTGCAGCAGTATTCTAAGTCAAAGGGGTCAAATAGGTGGAATTATTTAAATGACTTCTTCTGAATAAACAAAAGGTCCAGGGTGGCGATATTTGGCTAGTAACATGCAGACATGTAGGGTTACTTACTTTCTTTAAATAAATCAACTTCATCCATATTCACGGTCACAGGAGTCAAATATGTAAACAGCTTAACGACTTCTCATTTTTAAAAAAATGATAATTAATAATAATAATTCGAGGTTCTTATATACCGCTTTATCACAACCTAGTTCATAGGTCGTCTCAAAGCGGTTCACAAATTATTATCCTAGCTTATAGGGCCTTTGCAACCAGCCAATACCTTTCTCAACTCCCTGGGGAGCATACAGCCGGTGCTGCCATTTCGGCGCTGACAGCTAGCATTCAACAATTTCAGCACTGCCCAAGCACGTACTCATTTACAGCTAAATAGACTGGAACAAGCGGAGTAAAGTATCCTGCTCAAAGATATAACACAGTGCCGTGCCGTGACTCGAACACGCAACACTTCGGTCACGAACCCGGCGTCCTATAACTAGACTACCGGGCTAGGATGATGACATTTAACCCCTAGCTACGGTAATGAAAAGTTTTTAAAATAATGACCTTGAATCATATTTAATGTCACAGGGGTCAAATATGTTCAAAACTTAAACGACTTCTGAATAATCAAAATACAAAGGGTAGTGATGATGGACAATAGCATGCTCAAATGAAGAACTATCAACTAAATGCATGTGCATGACCTTGACCCATTTTCAAGGTAACATGTGGTCAATTGTGTGGAAATCTTTAGAAGAAATCTTCTCAATAAACAAAGGTGGTGTTATTTGGCAAGATGCATTCTAGGATGAAGGGCTATAGCGTTTGTTCAACTTAATGTCATTGTTGACTTTCACGGTCACACGGGGTCAATTGTGTTTAAAGTTTTTAACATTTTCTTTCGAAAGACTTTTGAGTCAAGACACTGATATTTTGTATGTAGTTTTATTTTAGTCCATTTTTAAGTTTACAATTGTGAGATTAATACGAGATGAGCGATGCAGGCCCATTGGACCTCTTGTTTAATATCTTTGCAACATTCATGGTCGAATGAAGACGGATACCTTAATATGATGTGATTTGGCTTTATGGGGTTCATTACGATAAATAACTAAGGCTATTCCAGGACTGGCCTTGTTGTGTGTTATAAATGCAAGCAAGTGAAATGGAGCTAGGGTATCGGAGTGTATAAACCTTGCGATGCCGACTTTTTAGAGCTACCTCACTGAAATGCCATGGCTAATGCGTTCAGTAGAGTATTCCAACCAGTCAAACTATACTGACAAGGGTTAGCCAGTTGTTGCCTTCAAGCCTGAGTACTAAACATTTAGCTTGGAATACACTGCCTTTTTAAGGATTTTAGTGTGACCGGTTGTGGTTTTAGTATGCTGGTCCTCTTAGCAGCCTAGAATTTTTAACATCGTGCTCTTCTACTTCTACTTCTACTTCTAAATGGTACTGACTGCTCTATATATTTATGTATCCGTTTATGTGTGAGTGTATGCTGGAGATATGATATGTATGTGAATCTGTTGCCCTCTTTGATATCACTGATATTACATGCCGAAAGCACGCGGCATAACATTCACATTAAAATGAATGGCTGTATGTATTTCATTTTCATTCCAACTTATTAATGTAAAAAAACCTGCTGGTCCAGATGCACTTCC